AAAAAAAAAAAGATCTATACAAAAATAGCCACTCTTCTCCACAATAGTACTAGAATTTGGACTTTATTGGAGTAGACAATGGCAAACCACAAATGGGCCTGGGCAAAGAGGATCTGGCAGGAAAGCAGAGGACTAACGTGGTTAGAGCAAGAACAGATGGGGGACATGCAGAGAGACGTCTCTCCTATTGTCACACACAGGGGTGCTGGCAGAGGGGGTAAGGAATAATAAGAGTAATTTTCATGGGAAAAAGTACAATGGATTTTAGCCTTGGCGACCAGGATAATGATTGCTCCCCTCAAAGAAGTACAGAAATGGGAAATAATTAGAGGTTTATGAGAAAATGATCACTAATTTGATTCTGATTTAACCAACCTATTCCCATGAAATTTCCTCTTCCCCACATCATCATCAAATGGATTTTCCTCAAAGACTAATAATTATTTGTCCCTTCCAAAGAATCTGAATGGAGACCACTCACAGCAACCTCACTGGGGCAGATTTTGACACTCTTTAAATACTAGCTGTGCCATTTCCATTCAAATGGCAAGGATTATGAAATCAGAAAGTTGTTGTGAACGATCCATTGGCATCAAAGCATGGACCGGGGCTGTCTCCTCTCTCACTGTTGGGATAAGTCTCTGCTTTTCCATGTTGCTAGGGATGTATCTGCCCATTGAATGGAGCCCAAGACATTGCCCAGGAGAAAAGGAGAGAACCCTCTGGGTCTCAGGGTTCTTCTGAGAGAGTGAAAGGAGAAGACTGAATTACAAGTTCATTAAGGTCCTTTTAGCTCCAGGAATCAGTCCTGTTCTTCCCTGTGATAGGCAGGAGTCATCTGAGTCAGCTGGCCACAGGAAAAAAGAGTACAGCTTGTGGCCGTGACACAGAACAAAGCTAAATAGGTCATAGGAAGATAAAGCCCCTGACCTTGGCCTCACTGGCACCCGTGTAGGGGCCACCCAAGAGAGCAGAGATAAATGGCCACACACCAAAGAAAGGGGAGAACAGAGAGGAATGAGGTTGGGAGGGAAACGTCTAGTAATTCTCCTTCCTACAGGGCAGGTGGTGTGCACTTACTCCAAATGAAATTCAGCCAGACCCTTGCTTTGCACTGCATGTGCCAGGCAATACTGGGCCCTGCGCTGAACCACACACAGCCCAACAAGACCCTGTGAGCACCCTCCCCGTGGATGTTATCGTGTAGGTGGGATTATTGCAATTGTGGATCTTCTCAGCACTAGCCAGTGAGACTAGCTGAGACTAGCCAGTGAGCACCATTTCACAGGTACTCTTTTCTCCTCCCTTTCCATTTACAAAAATAAAAATACTTCCCAGTCTCAGTAATAAAGTAATAAAGGAAATAGTAATAAAGTCATTCAATCAACCAGACCTCTTTTTCCTTTTTTAAAATTGCCCTAGAATATGAATTGACAACACAGAGATAAATACTCCATTAAAAATATGGGAGGAACAAAGCCATCCTCACCTGTCATTGAAGAAATGCAAATTAAAGAGAAATGCCACTGTTCACTTATCAGATTACTTACGCTTTTTCAAAGCAAAGTTTGTTGCTGGTGAGAGCACAGGGAGCTTAAGGGCTTTGCTGTCTGTGAGTATGAGGGGGGCTGGGGAGCTGTGTACAAATAGCTATCTCCTTTCTCAAAAGTGATTAATACATGATAAAATCTTTAAACACCTGAAACTCTATGGATTTATAATATCTCTTCTTAGGATCCATCCCAATGAAATAATCAGAAAAACAGACTAAGTTTTATGTAAGGAGACTTATCCAATTTTTAATTATGACAATAAAAAAATTAGAGCGAATGCCCATTCAAGGGATGGTTTAAAAAATTCTGGGTCATCCACCCAGTGGACAACAATATGTAGACACAAGTCTAAAATTATGTTTTCAGGTATATAATGGCAAAGGAAAGTGCTGAAGATACCATGTTAAATAATAAAGACAGGGGGCAGTGCCTGTGGCTCAGTGAGTAGGGAGCCAGCCCCACATACTGAGGGTGGTGGGTTCAAACCCAGCCCCGGCCAAACTGCAACAAAAAAATAGCCAGACATTGTGGCAGGTGCCTCTAGTCCCAGCTACTTGGGAGGCAGAGGCAAGAGAATTGCCTAATCCCAGGAGTTGGAGGTTGCTGTGAGCTGTGATGCCACAGTTCTCTACTGAGGGTGATAAAGTAAGATTCTGTCTCTAAAAATAATAATAATAATAATAATAAAGACAGGGTACAGAATCCTAGATTCAGTGTGAAACCAATTTCATTTATGTACAAACGCACATGGAAGGGAGAAACACAGAAAGGAACGCCATCAACAGTGGTGTCGGGATCTGGGTTTTTAAATAATTTCCTTATCTATACTTTATCCTATTTTATCATGTTCTGTCATGAAATGCTTTAGGTCTACACCATCCGAAGTTGTTATTCTGCAGGTCAAACGTGGTCACATAGGGGCCATTTCATATACTTAACTCTACTTAATATTAACTTCAGGACATATAACTTAACATATATAATATATACATTATTGCCCTGAGTTATGTTACTGTAACAATATTTCATCAGCCATCATCATTCATAACTTAATATATTGATAATACATCAAATTATAACTTAAACAGAGTATCTCCACCAATGTATGTGGTCATCAGAAAAACTTGCAAAAACGAAGTGCCGCTTAGATAAGATTAGGAAAATGTATCTTTGAAAATATATTACGTATTTGTAAGACTCAATGATAATAAAAGCAGCAGTGAAGAAAAGAATGAATACTAATTTCCATGAAGGTCTAGTATGTCATACCTGTAATCTCATGTTCTGCTGAGGAATCTAATACAAGATTGCAACCAGCATGGTCAAGGTCTTGATTAGACATCGCTACTCCTCTAAAAAACCTAAAACTTCTCCGTTGTATTCCCTGACATTCCATACTGAAGATGTAATTGGTCCCTCAAGTTGTTGGCAGTTCCCTGTAAATATTTCTTCCACTAACTTTTATGTCTAATGTTATAATACACAACAAAGTACTTTTTAAAACAAGAAGTAAATAGCCAAGACAGAAAGCAAACCAGAATGGGGCAAGTTGCTAAATGACACATGGATTGTTCACACTTTCTACGGATATATATATTTTTTTTTTAATGGTAGAACTGTGGCATCTCATTATGAACAATGAGACTGTCATTTCCCTTTCCAGTCTTAATGATTAAATAACTCAACAGTTCCACTTGAAGTTCTGGGACAGCAAGTTCTCACAGACCATACCACATAGTGTGATGGCCAAGTCTGCCAGCACCCCAAGTGGTTAAAATCTCCCAAGACATAAAAAAGCATACTTAAGCTGTTAAGTAATCATTTTAGAAGTATGACCTTAGGTTTCTTTAAGGTGACACAAAAAAAAAAAAAAAAAAAAAGAGGTGGAAAATGTGAGTCTAAGACCAAAAGGATCTTTGACAGTTAATCTTGCTAAGCTAGGTTGGTGTGAAGGCACTGATTTAAAAAAAAAGAGAGAGAGAACAATATTACATAGTATTATGTATTTAATTTTTTCATAATTATCTCTTTTAACTCCTCTTTATCTCTCTGCCCACAACTAGTGTGAAAGCACACACACACACATAAGTATTCTTTCTCCTATCTTCTCCTTAATCTCTAAATTCTATGTCACAGAATCATCACTTTGGCTACTTCACCCCATTTTTAAGAGACCCTAAGTACCTCATTAACATGTCTGAAAGATTAGAAGTCATTTAAAAAGGACAGAAATTGGGTAAGATTTTCGTTTTTAAATCTTCTGGAAATTTTGGCTAAATGCGATAGGAACTGTAAAACCTATAATTGTATCATCTTACGTGTTATCTGTCAAGCTCGACATGTAAAGATTCCTAAATTATTCCATTAAACTTACAGTGTACTAGTTTGGGTTTTGCTTTGAAACATCTCTAGAATAAAAGAGCCAAGGATTTATCAAAACATACACATTTAAGTTATTTCACATAACCTTTACATTGTTATTTATTAGCTAATTACAAAAGTCCCATAATGTTATCTCAGAAGTAAACATTGCAAAATTCAGAGCTCAAGTTAAAAAAAAGGAAAAGTTTCCAGGAACCCCACAGTGCCAAGAGATAACCAGAAGAAACAGTTTGGTTTCTGTTTCTCCAGCTATTTGCCCTATACATACATTTGCCTGCATGCTTTTTGCCTCTTTAAAACATTATCGAAATTGTTCCATTTACACATAGAAGAAACAAGCTTTCTAAGTGAATTATGAACCATCATAAGGATAGTTAGTGGTCTGATAATATATTTGCCAGTTAAGCCAGGCTGTTCTCAATCCTATCTATAGGAAGCTGTGGAAAAATAAATATAGTTAGCTCCAGAAAGGAAAGGTAACAATACGAGTTTTAAACAAGACACTCCAAATTCAGATCATGATAACTGCAGTTTTAGCATCTAGGGGAGGGTTCTTACATTGCTGTAATCACCAGGCAGTGTTTAGAGGATATAGTGTTGGAAGAACTGACCTGTTCCCTGGGCTGCTGGCCTTAGCAAGTGATGGGACCTCCGCATTCCTTAAGTCAGCCGGCCCTTCAAACAAAGTACGAGAGCACAGTTTTAATGAGAGATAACCCCTTCTCATCCAAAAGGTGAAAAACAACATCTGTTGAAAACCCAAATAAACCTCAGTAATGCATTTTAGCAACAGACCCGAGGATTTCAGGGATCTAATCTTTGCTTATCAAAATAAAAACCACAGTAGAACAATCGTTGCATTCCAATGCTCTGGGTTCTAAACTCTCTCTAGATTAATTAGCATGGAGTTTGGACAAGCTCCTTAAAAAAGAAACTCTCACTCCTAAGGATGGATGATGTTGTTTACTGTCCTAAAGTAGAGGGCTCTCCCAGTCAAGACAATGAGAACTTGGCGGGGGAAGGCAGACTCCGGGCCTTCTTTACTCTTAATATTCCTAGGATCTATTTTTAATGCCACATTTTAAAAATTAGACTCCAAAACATCACATTCTCTTCTTGTTAACTAAAAAATGATCTTTGTTTCCTTGTCTATTTCCAGTTTCAAGGTATATTTTATAACCTCTGAACAATACATCATAGCCTCCTGGAATCTGTGACCACTCAGATGAGTTATGATTATAGGTAACTCTGATGAGCTTGTCAAGCTCTCCAAAGCACATGGACACTTGGGCATATTAAGGTATGTACAAGGAGGGGGTGAAAAGACAAACTTCTTTTTTTCTAAAACGGGCTTCCTGTGCCAACCCAATCCCTCTAAATCGCTGGGGCCCTCCAAGGGCTTGACCCTCCAGTCTCTGCAGCTGAGGGTAAGATTTTGAAGGAAGAAGGCCCAGCAGATTAAAAACCTCTGTTCAACAAATATTTGCTGGCTCACTAGGGCTGGAGTACAACAGTTTGTTACATGCTGCCTGCCCACAGTGACACTTAGAGACCTTTAGGAAGCTTGTTCAACTGGTAACTTTGAATTAGATACCTAATATCAAGGTAAGTGAATAATCAAGTTATGGAAATAATTAAGAATTTATGGAAAACCAAAAGACTTTACCAAACTCCCAATTTCACATGAAAACCAACTCAAGTCCCAGAAAATTGAATCTTTGTATGATTTCCAAACACACCCATTTGCTTTCTTGCCTCCCTGCAATGCCTTAATCCAATCACCTGAAAATTCCAAAACTACCCACCACTCAAGTTCTACCTGTACAGACTGTGACCACTCACCACTGACTCTACCCCCATTCCACCTCCCACTTTCCTTCCAAGAATCCGCCCATCTCCCTAATCCCTGGGACGTCTATGCTTTGAAAATATGAAAAGACAAAAAGCCAGAGCAGGAAAACATGACGTTGTGGGCGAATTTCACATTAAACTGTCACCCACAGGAAACTCTGGGAGTTGTGTGGTCTGCACGGCCCCACCCCTCTCTCCAAGACAAGCCCAGACAACCAGACTTGGGGAGTGGAGTGTGGGCAAGGGCCGAGTAGGGGGCCTGGAGGGTGTGCAGGAGGTAGGGGAGCTTGTGTGTTGGGGGAAGGGTTAATATGCCTAAACCAATTCGCTAAAGTCCCTCTTGCTCCTAGAGAGTATGGATGAGCAAACACCAGAGCATGTCCAGGTTGCGCTGGCCTCAAGTTCCCGTTTTAATTTTTTTCTTCAGTAGTGAAATCACCACTTCTTTTCAAACCCCCAGAAGAACCCCAGGCGCTGGGCTTCTCTTCCTAGTGCCAGGGAGCGAGGGGCAGGCGCTTTTAGTTGCGGGTGCTGAGCACCCCTGGCATTTGGGGATGAAGTGACTGCGACTGGGGTGGAGGGAGGAGAGGGTGCTCGCGTGGAGCTGAGTGCAGAGACCCTGGGCGGGCGAGCGGGCTTCAGATCCCATAAACCAGCTGATTAACGGGATTTACAGCACTCGCGGGCGGGCTCTCGCCTCTCTCCCAGTCCACAGGCAGCCGCGGCCGGGCTGCCTGGCACAGGCGGGGAGGCAGCCGCGATTAGCGCCCTAATCCCCAGCGCGACCGCGCGGTGCGGTGGGCGCGCCAGGCCCGGGCGGAGACCCGTGTGGCCAGCGGGGCGCGGCGTGGAGCCTCCACCGTCCGGCGGGCAGGTCCCGACCGCCGGGGCCACCGTGGGGACCAGGACCTCGGGGACTCCGAGCGGCTGCTGTCACTTCCCGGGCGGAGGGGTCAGCCAAGTCGGAGCGCTCAGGCGAGGAGAGGGTCGCCCGGCCGCGGGCTGTGGGGGGCGACGTGGGGAAGGGAGGGGGCGACCCCCGTCCTCAGGGCCGTTCCCGCGCCCAGGGGCGACGGGAGCGCCAACGCCAGCCGCGGCCCACGGAGCCCGCCCCGAGAGCCCCGCGCGCCGGGCGTCTGGGAGCCGGGGACGTCCCTCCCAGCCCCGGAGGCGCGCCCCCACCCGAGGCTGCGCGCGGGGTCTGCCGCGGCCCGGCTGCGGGGCTGAGCACAGCGCGGGGGTCTCAGGCGGGGCTGCGGCCGGGGGTGGCGTTCACCCCCTAGACGCTGGAGACGGCTCGGACCCGAGCGACGTCCAGGCTGGGGAAGTTGGGGGCGAGAGCAGGAGGCGATGGGCGAGGCCCGTGGAGCGCCGTGGGAGAGGGCCAGATGGACGGTGGGAGTCAGGAGCGCAAGACACGCCGGGACTTACCGAGCGGTTCCCTCATGCTGCCCCGCGCCGCCGCCG